ATCAATCTTTCTCTCTGCTTTGCTACTGCCTCTCCCTCTTTGATGAATTTCTTCCAACTTTGCCAGCTCTTTATAGTTTATACCTGGCTTTGATTTGGGGTTTCTGATTAATTATTTGGACTTTGGTATCTTTAACCTGATTGTGTTTCCCATGTTTTGCTCAATCTAATTTGAGAATTTATCTCTTCATTTTGGCTGGCCTATTCAATTTTCTTTCCTCTCTACTTTCCTTTTGTGACTTGAACTAAGGTCTAAGACCTTGAACTGAGGTCGAAGACATTGAACTGAGTGAATTGAGGTCTTAGACTGTGAAAAGAGCCCGATTTGGGTATAAAACAAGAAAGGAGCTGAAGGAGAAGAGGGAGCTTTTTTGTAGGTTTTAGTTTTCATAAGAGTTAAATGCATGTGTGGCCCCTAAAGTATTATGTGTTTTCTATTGAAGTCCCTGAACTATTATTTTTCCTATGATAGTCCCTGATTTATCAAAATTTTCCTAACGAAATCCCTATTGCTACTAGGTCGTTAAAGTTCCGTTAAATTAGGTCACTAGCGGCTGATTTGGCACTGACTAAGCACACAGTCAGCATAAAATTCCCCCCAGTGACCATATTACCCCAACTCAATTTAATCACACGCCAATTACAAAAAAAAACCAATATTTACCCATAAATCCCATGAACGTTCCATTTTCTGTTTTTGCTAGCATACAGATCAAACGCTATTTCTTTGATTTCCATCGAGGGTTGAAGCCGCCAAGCTCCAAGCGTGGTCAGGAAAAATTTATCAAAGAAGTGGAAATGGGAAATATGTCACATTAATATATGCTTGTTTCCTTGACTTTCTTGCAAGTTGCATTGTAGCCACATATAAAATCCCACTACCAGACATCATGCTCGGAAAAGGACGGAAGGACATATCTGAAGAAAAAACTGACAATGAGACTACATAATGTTCAGTGACTAGAATGGTAAATAACTATCTTCATCTCCTCTTCCTCTTCCTCTTCTTCTTCCTCTTCCAGCAGGTATAATAACAGTTCGAGCAACAGTCCCATTCAAAGGTCCAGTAGGTTCTTGCGATGGTTTAACAGAAGTTGCACAAGCCTGAAAATGAATTAAGTATGTGAAAAAACACTTAAGCACTACCCTAAACACATTGACGCTATTCTTGTTATCCTATGCCTTACTCTTAAACTTCAACTTAACAAAGACATGTAGTACTTACAACAAATCCTCACAGTACATCCATTCAAATGAACTTAATTCACTCTAGCTTACCACTTGTGGAGCATTCTTTGCTGGGCAAGTACGTGAGTTGTGCCCAGATTGTTTGCATTTTGAACAAAAGATGATCTCATTCACCCTACTTAACTTGTGAGGGTTTTTCTGCAATATTTCATCAGTGGAAAGCCTTCTCTTCTTTTTTGGCTTGCCAGGCATTGCTCTGAATGAGGGTGGCTGAAACAGATCCAAATTAACCGACACCCACTATCTTGGTCCATCCATCCCTGACATGGTTTTCGAGTAAGTGGTGTTGTACTTGGCCATAAAGTACCCGTTGGAAATGTAATCCACAAGATCTTTACCCTCATACACAAGACACATGATAGCATGGTGACAAGGTATCCTACTAAAATTCCAAGCTCTGCATGAACACGTCTCAGCCCCAAGTCTCAGTTTGTACCTTTCGTCACCATGGTTCACCTTATACTCATGATTCCCGGCCCACAAGTGACAATTCGATGTATCCTACTTTCTTTCGCATTAATCTTGAGCTTCTTTATTATCTTTGGACAAAATGGGGAAGTCCATTTAGAAGCGCCTCTTATTTTTTAGCTATCCACTCCATGGTGAGAACGCGTATATCATCCAACAAGATGTACGGTGGTTTATGTCTCGCCACAACTATGCTTGCATTGAATGTCTCTAATATATTATTGTCGACGGAGTCACATTTAACATGGTTGAAAAGAATTCCTTACACCACTGCTCTTTTCAATAGCTGCATTCAACAAAGAGGAGTAAAACAAAACCATAATTATTGAATATATAAAAGCAAACACAGAAGAAACTGCAACTAACTTACCTTCTTCTCCATTCACTTCTTCAAAGCCCCCAGTAGCCTCTTCATCTCCATCATTCTCAATACCTATACCTCCAATACTTATCCCATGTTTTCCCTTTCTCATATTCTTGTTCCCTTTTTCCATCTCTAATGAATTAGCCTATGAATTCCAATAGTCAAGCATCAGTTCATCATAAAAGTATCATTTTAATCATACCAATATCAGTTTAATGATTTTATTCATTAGTTTACTCCAAAAGCCAGCAAAAAAAATGGCAGTGCTGAACAAGTGATTTGAATGGGAACCCACCTCAACGCTAATTAGAGCTCGTTTGTCAATGTTCATAGCCACTGATCGCCGTCAATGATCCCGATCGGCGACTATTGTTAGTCGTAATTCAGTTTGTTCACACCTAGATGTCGTTGTCTGAAATTGTCAAAGTTATCATGGAACTCGGTGAACCGGCATTGTTGAAACTCGTCTGACCACCCTAGGAGCTTGGCGGTTGCAACCTTCGATGGAAATCAAAGAAATAGGGTTTGATCAACATGATAGCGAAAACAAAAGATGGAACGTTCATGGGAGTTATGGGTAATCTTTTTTGTTTTGTTTGTAATTGGCGTGTGATTAAATTGAGTTTGAGTAATATGGTCACTTAGGAGAATTTTACGCTGATTGGGTGCTTAGACAGCGCCAAATCAGCAACTAATGATCCAATTTAACGAAACTTTAACGATCTAGTAACAGTAGAGATTTCGTTAGAAATTTTTTAATAAATCAGGGGTTGCCATAGGAAAAACAATAGTTCAGTGACTTCGATAGAAAACACCTAATAGTTTAGGGGCCACATATGCATTTAACTCTTTTCATAATAAAGAGGGTTTCTAGTGAGAGTTTAGGGTTTCCTCTTCCCATTCTAGAGAGAGAAAGTGTCATTCAAAGGAGGAAGAAGAAGATTTGCGCTTGCCCTAAGCTAGAGGTGTGAAGATTCTTACCTCTCAAAGGAGATTCAAGCAAGGAGGAAAGAAGATTGTCATCTTTTCATGATTGTTTCTCTCTTTTTTCTCGTTTTCCTTTGTCTAGCTATGGAATAGCCCACCTATTCACTTGGGTATTGTGAATCCTAGTCTAGATATGTGTTAGGATGTAAGAACATGATTCTATTTGTGTTGATTGTGCGTTTTATGTAATATTTGAGGTAATAATCATGATTTGTGGGTGTTTCTTGCATTATCTCATTGTTGGGTCAAATAGACCTTGGAGGTGGGAATCCCCCTTTGAGCCATAGGGAGCTTGACCTCCTACCCACTCGGGTAACCCTTTCTATGTTAATCTAGGACTAAAGCCTCAAGTATCGGAGTAGCACCTTGATTCCCACGTGATTGGTCTCTTCGCCGTTTGGATTAAGTTCCGAAGGATTGGTTTGCAATCCTTAGTAAACCGGTTTAGAAGGGTTAGATCGTCTAGCCTACAGTTGCAATCCTCAACCGAAAGGTTAAGAGAGTTAGACCTCTAACTTAATGCAACAATCCTAAATTGGTCAACTAAGGGAGTTAGGGTTTCCTCGGTGGATCGGTTAAGAGAGCTAGATTCCCTAGCTTCGTGTCACAACCCTTAATCGATCGACAAGGGGAGTTCGCACCTATCTAGATGCACCCACCTCACGGTATAGGAACGCACCCTTCACAATATAGTTTCTTTCATGATTTCTTAATACAAGACTAGGGGAAGCAATACCCAAGTGAAGTCCTCTCGTATAGAATTCTCCTCGATCTACTTTCCTTGCTTTTTTGTTTAGTTTGTAGTTTTCTTAGCTCTTAGATTTAAACCTAAAACTCGTTTGCTAGATAACAACCTAAGCGATTGAAGTAGGGGTACATGGACCGGCCCGTGTTGCTCGAGACTTGGAATGTCCTTTTGAGGTAGCCACCACTCTTCCACATTTCACGCCAAGTGTTGAAGAGGAAGTTCTCAATGACGAGATGAGTATCGAGTCAATCGAAGACATAGCTTGGAGACTCGCTATTCAACGCTTGCTAGCGAAAGAGTGAGGAAAGAAGAAGTTATGGAGGAGGTAGTAGAAAAAGAAGAGGAATTTCTTGAGGATCCCCGAGAGGAGGAAATGGAAGAAATAGGAAGGGAGGTTGAGGAAGAAGAAGAAAGAGCAAGTGGCGTCCAAGACAAGGACGAGGTCAAGGTGGATGAAGCATCCACGAGTTACAAGAGCTACCAATGCTTTCCACCCAACCTCAATGCACTTTTGGAGAAGGACACATTTGCGGCCTTTGCCAAGCCAATGCCAAACCATCGGCGATCCCTCTTGGTGGATGCGATGGAAGCAAAGCGATGATGCATTACATAGTGTGGGGCAAAGAGAAAGAAGGAGAAGAAAACAAGGAGAGGTCTCGTGGGTGGAGCGTCATGATAGCTCAAGTTCATGAGCCCTCAATCATGGATTCGTTCAATGCTCGTGACTTTAGATTTCATCTCACCGACGAGAACCTCAACTTCAAGGAGGTTCTTGGGTGGACAAAACTTGAAGAGGAAGATCCGGCTCACGACGTTAAAGAAGCGCTTGTTGGGAGGCCACCCAACTATCGGTTTGTTTTCTTTTGGCTTCAATAAGTCAACCCTTTGTTTTGCCGCCTCCTTGCTCTTCAAGATATCATCCGCCCCTCCGCTCCTGAACACCAACATTCAACACTCATTGCGCTTGTTGGGAGGGCAATGTCGAGTTTAAGTGTGCGAGGTAGTCCACTACAAGAAAATGTATCTTCAGTCACGAGATCGTTTTGTCACGGGTGTATTCACATGACGAAAAACTAAATATTTATCACAGTAAGATTTTACCGTGGCCATTAGTTGTTAAACCGAAATGAGTGCTTCTTCCCCGTGACTATTTATCACAGTAAGATTTTACCTTCGCCTTTGTCGCCCTTCACTTGTCCATTGAGTTAGGTCTCCGACCTCCCTCCGCTATCCACCATCGTCATCGCTTTCGGATTAATTGGGTTTTTGTCTCCTTATCTTTCTCATCATCGATCCCTTCTCCATCTCCATATCCCTTCTGCATCCAGTCATCTTCGTTCATTAAGCTTTGTTTCTTCTCTCTTTTTTTGTGCTTTGTCGAAACCCTTAACTCTTCTATTGATTGACAGATAAGCTTTGCACGAAAAGAGAACTCATCGTTACTGCAGTTAGATACCAGATCCTACATCTACCACCATGCAACCTCAGGGCTAAGGCTATACTACCGTTCAAGCTCCAAGTCTGATATAGATTCGCCTTGCAATCCTAGTCCTCCCCTGCTCTTACAAAATGGTATTTTGTTCTTGATATTTTCATTGATTTGCTTATGCTTTTTTTGCAGTTGGTATCGTTCCTTGCGGTATGCAATCCCTTCAAATGATACTGTATGTTTGTTTTATAGTATATAGTTTATAGTATGTACTTAATTCTGTTGTCCTACTTGAATGATCTTGGCTTTCAACTGAGTTGTTTCTTTTGTTGTTTGAGAGTGCTGCAAGTGCTGAGTTACTTTTACCGGCCAATTGGGTTTCCTAGCATTTTGGAGTGGATTCTTGTTCTTGTTCATACTGTTGCTATGGAGTATTGCAGGGTGTTATTAATGATTTTACAACATTCCCCTTCCATTTATTTAGCTCTATGGAGGGGTTCTAAACTCGTGTTTAGTTTCCAAATGATTTGTTGTGATGAGGATGGTGGCTTCAAAGATACAGGGTATTGGATGATGCTAACTGGTGGCTTGCCAGTTATTGGTGAAAATGGTTCATTTTCATCACTCGTTTTTGCTTGCTGCAGTAAGAGAAGTGAAAGAAGGGCTAGTTACAAAAATCTTGCTTTTGTACTGATCTATCATCTCATGGTTTCTCATCTTATGATTGAAATGAATTGTGTATCTCGTGTTCTCCAAACATCTTAGAAGTGAACATGTTTCTGCCTCATTCTTTACAAGATAAAAAGTGGGTACGCTTTATCACCCCTCAAATTTTTACTACTATTTCACTATTTGTCATTTTGCGGAGAGGGGAGTTTGTGTTCTCCGTGGGTTGGGTGGTCGCGGCGGCCGGAATTGCTTCGATTGGGTCGGATCAGAAGCAAATTTTGCCGCCGCCTGGTTAGATCAGCACACACGCTTTCTGTACACATGTTCCAGTTGGCCCCTACCGCAAACCCTGCAGCGAAGCGCGTTCTTTTTGTCTCCGCGTCGCTTCACCCTGCTTTCCCGGAATCGCCGGTCTGCCACTTATAACCCATACCACCTTACCTCGCTGGCGCAGCCTACAACCCGTCCGTGTATAGCTACTTGACTCCACTGTACACTGGGACAAGCCAACCTTTCGACCTCATTCTCGCCTGTCGCCTCCTATTGGAATTGGAATTCTCTCTCTTTGTTCCATGATTCCCTCCCAAGTTCTTCCAACAGCTCTCTTTTGCTTTCCTCTCTTCTCCTTCCATAATCCCTTTCTTCTCTCTGCAACCCAAATCCTAAAGTTTTCTCTTGCTGTTGGCCGCCATGGAACTCAAACGCGGAGGAATAAGGGATCGATATGGAACAGGAGCAGCGCGGTGAGAATGAATGTGACAAGAAGGAAGGAGATCCGCCATCGCAAAGTACTTCTCGCGCCCTAGAGGTGTTGCCTCTCCTCAGTCCCATCTCTCTTTGTTCTGTTTTGTTGGTGGAAGAGAAGCCGCAGGAATAGCTGAAAAAGAAACGCTCAATGAACTCTCGACTTATTTTTTCGGGACTTTCACCTCTCGACTTATTTTTTCAGGAATAGCTGAAATTGTAACGTTTCTCGGGATATGTTTTTTGGTTCACAGGCTGCAAGCTTTGGCATCTCATATAATCAATCAATCCCTTTGTGCGTGTTTCTGTTCCAGTTGTGGTTTCTGAGTTACTGCACCGCTTTCCATGGAGTTATTGGTTCATGGTGGAGGAGTAGGGCAGTTGGCCCTTCAACAAAGACCAGCAAGAAATCGGTTCCAATAGTTCCCAGCAGTTCTCCTTTGAGCTCATGCTCAACGTCTCAGCCTCAGCCTCAGCCTCACAGATGCCTTAGTACTCTAATGATTCTATGGATCATGGGGTGAACTGTGAGGGGTGGTGTTCTGGTTCTGCTTTAAAAGGGTCGATGGATTGACTTTTAAAAATATTTGTTACTTCAGCTTATGGTGTTTGGTGCGAGCTGAAGTGAATTTTTAAGATCCAGGTGAACTGGAATGTGAGTCATGTGTTCTATCCTTCCTTGGGATACCATTTCTTTCTGCATCTTCTCCAATGGCGTCTAAGCTGTAACATACTGCCATGTTGATCTCACGTGCTACACCTGCGAATCGACAAGGTTGTGGCTCCAGGAGCCCCGACTGCCCTTCCCTTCGGGCCCTAACCTTAGTCACTCTAGGTTTCATTTTATGTTGCTGCCCTGCTGCTAAGGCTGCGGATTGGATTTATAAACTGGATATTGATTGCTTTTATTGTTTTTTTTTTTTTTGCTTATCTCAGTCACCAGTCTCGAGCCCACAATGGAGGAATTCCTCAGGTGGTGGAAAGATAGGCGGATCCCTATTCCTCGGGCGAGGGTGCTTGCTGTCTCTATTGATGATCGTGCAAACGACCCAGTATGTTCTGAATAAACTTCTTCCTTGGCCTTTCAAGTCCATATTTTTAGTGGCTTCAATTCTTTTGTTTGGGGACTTTGTGCTTCATTGTTGCGATTATCATCTCTTATACCTTTGCATGTTTGATTTCCCATTCTCTACAGATATTTGGCCGTTGCAAGATAGCACGGTGAGTTACTGCTGACTCAATTTGAGGATTGCAGTTTTTTTAAATACTTCCTTGGTTCTGTACTTACCCTGGCCTTCATATGCAACAGATTGAAATTTCAATCCTCTTAATGGATGCTTTTTTGTGTCAATGGCCAATTTTGGTGATGGTGCTGCTCACCCTGAAGATGATGACATTGCTGGTTTGCATATATTCCAGAAGAGCAGATCGGTGGGGTATGTCATCTTGGTGATAAATGGTGTCATTTCTGAGTCATGTGTACAGTCATGAGCAACTATCTTAGTAATCTGCTCACTCTTGGTTTAATAATTTGTTTATATCAATCATGGTCTTTGCTTACATGTACAACCAAAGGCAATGCAAGTTTGACATCAGTCGACATTGCACCTGCAGAGAACGCCAACAATGGTTTCTCTAATTCGTGGAAAGTTTATGTTTCTGCTTCGGTGCAAGCTTAAGTGAATTTTTAAGATGCAGGTGAACTAGAAGCCATTGGTGCAAGGAAGGGGTTGTTCTTAGAAGCTATCTACCAAGCCCTTCAGGATCTGTTTTGATTCACATTGTGACTGAGAATTGAGAAAGGGAAAGGGTATCCTCCTGCTGAGGCTGCTGCTTATAAAATGCATGGTGAGTACAGTTGTCTGATATGTGACTCAATTTGGTATAACACATTTTCAGATATATCTTTCAAGTATATGGTGAATTGTCATGCTATTTTCATAGTAATCTTCATATTTCTATGCTTGGAAGACCTTATTAGAAGACCGTCAAATATCTCTCTTCTGAACTGTCCTTCTTTCAGGAGTGGTGAAGTTTGCTGTCAAAAAGGGGCAGCTTTTTAAGCTGCAATCATCTATCCTTCCATACACACGATACTTTGCTGAATCATTAGTCAAAGAAGCTGAGGCGGACAACAATATAGTAGCTATTCATGCTGAATGGGTGGTGGGACTGTTCTCAACTATTTCTAAAAGAAGTTCCCTATCGATACTTTGAAGTGGGGATCACCGAGCAACATGTTGTCACCTTTGCAGATGGGTTACCTGCTGAAGGTCTCGATCCATTATGTGCCATCTACTCATCTTTCCTCCAAAGAGGATATGATCAGGTAAAAATCTATATAAAAAACTAGGATTTCGCCACTTACAGACAACTACTCATGCTTTAACAAACTGGTCCATTTTGAAAAATGCAGGTTGTACATGATGTGGATCTTCAGAAGCTACCGATCTGGTTCACTATTGATCTGCTTCAGGTTTCCACGGGGGAACAGAATTGCCGCAGTTATCCCATTCAACAACTAGGGAACTCCACTCGAGGTTGGCAAAGGAAGGGTGGTGATGGAAAGAACTTGAATTGCTATACTGGGTTATGGAGCTATAGTGCAACAGTGCCTATGAGATTCTGATTATTATGGAAAAAGGTTCGATTAGTTGGTTTGGGTCTCATGCTTCTCATTTCCTGAGCTTGAGTGGAATTCTAGATGGACCCCTTAAGGTGATTAGCTAACATTTTCACTGATCCTATTTAATTCTTTGATTTTCTTTTTGTTCTGTTATTTCACTATGGGTTTGTATGAATGTAGTTGAGACCAATGGTGCTTCCAGATAGGTACATCTGTCTCTCTTGGGAAAGCCTAAAGCAGCTCTGCATTTCTAAGTGAAATGCAAAAATGGTATGATGGAATCAATGGCTGCATCATTACTTCATTTACGTTGCTCCAAAAATTCAGCTGACAGGACTAAATGAAGTGGCAGCTGAAGCGGGTAATTAGTAGAACAAGAAGTAAACGACAGGATGCAATCATTGAGCAAGTAGATGGTGGCTTGAACTAAGTTGTGTGGAACATAAGCTTCATCATGTGTCCCAGATATCACAATCCTCATACTTCTCCCAGGATGATGATCACGTACTCCAATTTTAGCTCCTGAAATTTGATTCTCCCGAAAAGAAATTCAGCAACCCCAAGTAGATAGGCATTTTGTTCATCAATGATATAAACTTAAGTTTCTACTCTACATAATATATTTATTATTATGATAATTATTTGCTGTAGGTCCGCCAACCAAACTAACAATACTCCGAAATACAAATGAGTATTTTGATTGAGAATTATTAACTGCTCAATCAACTGAACTGCCTGCCATATGATCATGCTATAACAAATTTAGAGCTCGCGGCGTAGCCGCGAGTATTAATTCTAGTAACCTATAATTACTTGGTTCACTATTCTGAAACATCATGAGTTGTGCTGCAGGCTCTTGTCATCCTTATTCCATTTGATATCTGATTTTTGTTCCCCTTTCCTTTATCATTTATTAGCTAATATTTTAGGGTCCAATATATGATTTCTGTTTCAGTTGAGCCTGCGTCTTTCTTGGATTAATATCATTTTGGTTATTCAATTCAATTTAGGGATTTGTCGATTTGGGTTTGCCCATTTGAGGACTTTCATTTATTAAAAATTGAACCTTGTTCCAGTTCAAAAGGTTGAACGAGTTCTCAATATTAGAATATGGCTTTAGCAGAGGCATACTATTTGGTTGCCTCCTAAATTTGTTGGGGCTAGTTATGCTCTTCACTGAACTGTGTCCATTGTTCAATTGGAGGGTTTTCATTTGCATCTTATTTGAACCTTGTTCCTTCAAACTTTTCATTCATTCTATTGATTTAATGAACGGTAGATTACAGGTTGGACCCTGAGGTTTGGTCTTTTTATATGTTTTGGTAAAGGAGTTTAGTGCCTCCTTTCAAATGGGGTGGGTAAAAGTAAAACAGAATGTAAGTTTTTCTACATTTTGATAAATGAGTTAGTCCAGTTCCGTGTTCTATTGGTCGATGTTGATGTTGGCAGTCTCCTCTGATGCGTTATATGTTTTCCTACAGTTAAAATGTTCTAAGGTGATATTTTCACTTCTAATCAAGCCGGTAAATGATTCATATTGTGTACTTTTCCATGCAGGCAACAAGAACATTAGAACATTGGGAGTGGATGAACAAGATGTTACTGGAAATTTGGTCGAAGTTTATCAACCCAAAGCTTTCTACACGGTTCTCATACATAGTGGAGGTTGGATTTTTCAATGTGTTAACATATATTGATGAAGTAGTTGCTGATATGCATAGTTTTCTTAATCTTCCTCTGCACCCTTCTGCTTGTCATTAGTGTCACATTCTGTACAGATGTAGTTGATGAATTTGGTGTTTTTCTCCAAACAATCACAATTAGATCAATCTAAGTACTTTATTTTTCCCCCTTTCTTGTCAGCAGGGACTTTTAAAGGAGCGAAAACCAAAGCTCATACTAAGTTTTTATTATGTGTAATGCTGAGTTGGAGTTTGAGGTGTACTGGGTTCTGATTTGTTGAACTTTTTGTAGCCTGCAGATAGCATCAATTGGAGGAAAGATTTAAACCATGAAAAGTACTTGCGATTGCAATTTGTAACTAGAACAAGTTGTATTACATCTATAGATACTATGTTTAAGGCTACTTGCAAGTGCTCTCTAGAGGAACATTCATGAGTTCCTTATACTTTTATGATCTTTGTATCAATATTACGAGACTAAAATTTATATAGTGCAATTGAAATTTTCATTCATTTATAAGGTTGTTGATTAATGTATTTGAATTGTTCTTGATGTTAAATTTAATTATGTAACTTACCGAATAATATAATTAGATCAATATAATATGACAATTTCGCAGTGACTACTATTGTATAACTGGTTTTCTGTAACGATAGAGACAAAACTCGATGCTCTAACTTGATCATGATCACTACAATCGCGTGACAATTAGACAAAAGCTTGTGACAAAAGATCCCATTAGTCAGGGGAAATACCGTGACAAAATAAAACTTATATCACGGTGTTTTTCCCGTTATTGTTTTCTTTCCTGTCACGGGATTCCCTGTGATATTTGACCTTTGATCACGGGCATGCTTGACATGGGAATATACCGTGACAAAAGCTTTTTCGTCACAGGAATTGGCTTTTCAGTCACGGGATTTCTTGTGATCGAAAGTGATTTTTCCTGTAGTGGTCCTTTATGCATATTTATGTGAATGATTGGTGTGGTTTTGAATGCTTGGAGCCTTGATATGCCCAAATTTGAAAAAATTTGAGGGCTCCAAGCAATGTTTGCATGTTCAAAGTGGCCGATTTGTGGGAGAATCTTGTGTTTATTGGCATTGACCTTGAATTGTTGCATGTGATCGAGTGCGTCCTATGATGATGACTGGGAGGTGCATTAGGATAATGCAAAGGTTTAGTTTTCATGTGTGCAAAAATGAATGGATGTCTTGACTAGATTACTTGTTGACTATAATTGCCATGCATGTTGCTTTGTGAATTGGAATAGATGGTTGGGTGACTAGGTAGCCATATGAGTTTTGAGTCGATCATTTTCTTCTTGTATGTTTAGATCCCTTTTACCATGACGAGTACATTACAGTTGTCACTAGTGAGTATGATGGAGGCATAGGATTAGTCCACGCCCAAATGTTGATTGTCCCGAAATGATTTATCCACTAGTCAACCCCTTTGAGCCTTTTGACTTTGGGGGCCATTCTCATGTTAGGAGCTTCTTGCTTGTGAGCTTAATGGTGTTGAAAGAACGACCCCCATCCTTTTTTCGTGTCTATACGTGTGTCGTCCTTGTGTCCTAGTGTTCAAAGAGTATGCTCTAGGTGAGGTTTCTTGGCACACAAGCCATTGAAACCTCCACATTGTCTTAGAAATCCTTCACTACTAAATCGAAATGTGATAGCAAGAGTAGACCGAGGATGAGCGGTTAAGGGAAGTTCATGATGGGTGATAGTTTGGAAGGGAGAAGCAAGGTTTTTGGCCAATGCTAGTGTCGTTGTTTGTAAGGAAGCTTCTTAGTCGAAACCATAGAACCTTCGGGTTTAGGGTGAAGATGTAGGACCTCATGATGGGTTTGCCACAACCCAAAAAGACTTTTGCCCATGTCAAAGACAATCGCCAGTCATTTGAACCCATGTCTAAGACCTCCGGACAAGCTAGCGATGACAACAATTTCGTGAAATCTAGCATTTAGAGATTGTCTCCGTGGTGTTGATACGATAAGGCCGAGTGTTGATGATTGTGCACATTCTTCCATAAGGTCCCGATCCACTGGTTAAGAGTATGAGCGATTCATTCTTGTTTTGCATGATATATCATACCCCAGTGAGGACCTTTGTTGCCCATTCGTTTGTTCCTTGGACTTGAACTCTATGCATGGTTAGTTGTGGTTGATGAGTGATCTTGTTGAGACTTGCATTAATTCATGAACAAGGTGAGAACTTTTCATTTGCCCATTTCTGGTGGCCTCGAATGCCTTCTGTGGTGGATGTCGGTATTGCTTGCAATGGTCCATGTGTTAATTGTCAATAGCTATTAAGAATTCCCACTTGGTGCCCTTTGACTTGTCCCCAAAGTATTTTGTTTGGTTGATATATTATCTTGTGTGAAATGGTTTGCTTGGGGACAAGCAAACGTCTAAGTGTGGGGGAGTGATTCGGGCCTAATTGTACACTTTTTATCCTCATTTCTATTTGACGTTTGTTGCAATTGAGCTCCAAAAAGGGGTGGTTTTACGCTAGGTTTCGTGTGTTTCAGTGTGTTTCAGATTCTAACAGGTGAAACCAACCCCGGAGTCAAAAGTTAGAAGAAAATGATCAAAGAGGAGGAAACATCATGTGTTCAAGGTCTGCCATTGGAGTTCAAGGTCTTATAGAACCGTGAACTAGATCCAAAATCCATGAACCGCGAAGTGTCATTGGCAATTCTAGAGGTTACTGACGCTGAGTGAGTTCACGGTCGCTAAGACCGTGAAATCTAAGCACAAACTGTGGTTGTGAAGCGGTGCGTTTTGGTCTGAGCACTGAGTTCATGGACAAGTTTCAATGTTCACGACTAGGAACTGAGGTCTAAGAACTTGAACTGATCAACACGTCCTTGAACTAAGATCGTGAACTAATCAACGCGTCCTTGAACTAAGACATTCAACTGAGGTCTAAGACCTTGAACTGAGTGAATTGAGGTCTTAGACCGTGAACAAAACCCGATATCTAGTTATAAAAGGAAAAGGGACCTGAAGGAGAAGAGGGAGCTTTTTGGTAGGTTTTAGTTTTCATAATAAAGAGGATTTCTAGTGAGAGATTAGGGTTTCCTCTTCCCATTCTAGAGAGAGAAAGTGCCATTTAGAGGAGGAAGAAGGAGATTTGGGTTTGCCCTAAGCTAGAGGAGTGAAGATTCTTACCTCTCAAAAGAGATTCAAGCAAGGAGGATGGAAGAGTTTCCATCTCTTCATGGTTCTTTCTCTCTTTTTTCTAGTTTTCCTTTGTCTAGCTATGGAATAGCCCACCTACTCACTTGGGTATTGTGAATCCTAGTCTAGATATGTGTCAGGATGTAAGAACATGATTCTATTTGTGTTGATTGTGCGTTTTATATAATATTTGAGGTATTAATCATGATTTGTGGGTGTTTCTTCGATTATCTCATTGTTGGGTCAAATAGACCTAGGAGGAAGAAATCCCCCTTTGGCCTATTGGGAGCTTGACCTCCTACCCACTCGGGTAACCCTTTCTATGTTAATCTAGGTCCAAAACCTCATGTATCAGAGCACCTTGATTCCCATGTGATTGGTCTCTCCGTCGTCCGGATTAAGTTCTGAGGGATTGGTTTGTAATCCTTAGTCAACCGATTTAGATGGGCTAGATGGTCTAGCATAGAGTTTCAACTTGCAATCCTCAACCGAAAGGTTAAGAGAGTTAGACCGCTAACTTAATGCAAAAATCCTAAATTGGTCAACTAAGGGAGTTAGGTTTTCCTTGGTTGATCGATTAAGAGAGCTAGATTCCCTAGCTTCGTGTCACAGCCCTTAATCGATCTACTAGGAGAGTTCGCCCCTAGCTAGATGCACCCACTTCACGGTATAGGAACACATCCTTCACAATAGAGTTTTGTTCATGATTTCTTAATACAAGACTAGGGGAAGCAATACCAAAGTGAATTCCTCTCATATAGAATTCTCCTCGATCTACTTTCCTTACTTGTTTGTTTACTTTGTAGTTTTCTTAGCTCTTAGATTTAAATCCAAAACATGTTTGCTAGATAACAACCTAAGAGATTGAAGTAGGGGTTAATGGACTGGCCCGGGTCGACATTCTAAATACTTGCCCTATACTGCACCCGGCTAGAGTTTAAAAACTTGGGCTCTAGTCGGGATTAATTCGCGGTGTAGTTCTGGGCAAGTCAAACCTAATGCTACCACTTATATATTTTTGTTATCCATCACAAGCTACTATTGGGATTGGATGATGGTTTGGGTCTTGACTAATGTCGGATGGGTCCATTTGGAGAGCGGGGTTGGGGCAGTGATTCAAACCGCATTATTCCACCACTTATCTCCCATCACTTTCCCACCGTTCTAGACCAGAGGGCATTCTCAGTTTGCAGTCGCCGACGAGATATGTATCCCCGGCGAAGAGAGCTAAAATTGAGGAGGTTGTACTTGCCCCACCACACGCTTAGTGATGATGTCATCATTATTTTCGACGATGATGAACTAGAGGTGATCGAGAAGCGTAGTGAAACAGGCAAAGCCCATACAGGATTAAAAAAGGATGTAGAGAGCATGGTAATTCCTCGGGTGTCGCTTCCCCTTAACTACTACTATGAACTCTTCAACGCGTCCGTAAACACAGAGGGCGATGTCAAAACGCACCGCTTCGCCATCAGGAGTTCACGTTATGGCCTCAATCTTAACGCTCTTGTTGACCGTGAACTCGTCTCGCGGTAGTAACTGCGGAATTCTCCCTAGACGTATCGCGGTTCATGGTTTTGGGCTTCATTTCACGGCATCAGTGGACCGTCAACTCCCATGCTAAACCGTGAATTGCGCCTGGATCACCCTCTTTGCCCGGTCTTCTCCTCTTTTCGTCCAACTTCGACTCCAGGGCTGGTTTCACCTGTTGGATCCTGAAACACACTAAAACGCACAAAACCTAGCGTAAAACCATCCTTTTAGGAGTCCAAATGCTACAAACGCCCAAGGGAAACGAGGATAAAATGTGTGCAATTATGCCCAAATCACATCGAATGTTTGGTCATGTGTAGATACTTCTTCCGATGAGGGAAAGGCTGCACTAGTATCTAGCTATAATTGTCATCAAGGAGCAAGAAGTCCACATCCTTAATCCAAGTCAACCTGAGGAGCGGAAGGAAGTATGTTAGGGAGTTGTGGAAAGAATGGTGGAGTTATTAAATTGTGTGTGGTTCTTATCTAATCATCCATCTCTGTGCCCGTATTTTTCATTGCCAACGCTTCATCAATTGTGCAAATGGTCTTATTGGATAGCTTGTGGCAGGCTCTATACATTGAATGCGAATACACATGCGAGCCGCCGAGATTTCTAGGTTATACGTACACAAGGCCTGCTCCCCAAGAACAAATGGATGAGTAAGAATGTTTCTTTCTGCATCACTTCAAATGCGTTCTTATGAAATAGTTTCTCATGCAATGATTTTCATGTTTTGTAGGTTTGATACTGGGTGTGGGTGTGCTTGTGGATGATGGATACAGGAATGGATTCATATTTCTTATGTGTGAGCCGTGAGCTAATGTTCTTATCCGATGCAAGCAACGACAACATTTTCTAAAATCAAATCTTCATTGTATATAGTTTAGTCGGACTTAATATGTATTGTTTGATGTTCGTACAACCATGTGGCCCGGTGAGGCAAATGGAACTAGCTTCGTTTCTTGTACGACATCATGTGCACATGTTGAGGCATCAAGTGCTGAAGGAAGCCAAAAAACTAGCACCTAAACTTGGAGCTCTCACACTCGAGTACCAGGAAGATCACCAAAAGAGACTAGAAGAAAGAGGGAACTTGGACTTGGAGGATTGAAGTTTTGTATATGATTAGTTAATTGGCTTATTTTATTGTCGCACTTGACAATCGTGTTTTTCTTGTTTTCTTTGTAAGAACAATCGTGTTTTTCTTGCTTGGATTTTCGTTTATATTGGCTGGTTTTGTTCGTGAACTATTTATTATGTTATATAGTCATTGCTTTCTCACTTGGTAGTTGGTACAGTGAAAGATAAACAACAATTATGCATCATTATTTCAACAAAAAAGAAAATGCTAGTTAACGTAACCATAAAAAGCCAATTCCTACTCACCCCATGGCCTACAAACAAACTCAATCAAACTAATGAAATGAGCCCAATGTACTACTCAAGTCCCCATTAACAAAACACACTCGTATACCTAAAAACACAACTATTGCTTGGAGAAGATGTTCTTCTCCATCAAAGTCTTTCAAATGCTTCTCGGGTGCTTGAATAAAATTATGGAGTGGTGGGGATGTCATCAAATCATTAATCATTTAAATTTAGTCATCAAAATTACAAATTTAATAGATTGCATTCAAATATTCAACCACTAGCCCACTAGATACTAGTAATGAACCAATCACTTGGGCCCGAAAATGGGCCTCTCCACATTTGATAAGTACCTCGGCGCTTTGGTGGGCTTCTAAATTATAGGAGGAACTCTGGTGGGTTTTAAGTTTGGAAGGCAACAATAATCGATTCCATAATCTTAACCAATTGTCCAAACTATAGATTTTATAGAAAATCTTAACCGAGATTTTCTTGATTCTCACGTTAAAACCATCAAATAACTCGCAAACTATAGATTTTATCAGTAATACATATTAATACGCAATTAAGAGTTAAGAGACCGATGACTAAAATCTAGCTATTTTCGCGGGAAAAAGCAAAAACACGCGGGAAAAGATCCGTCCACCCTTCCAAGAACCCTAGTATAAATACTTCATTTTAAGTGAAGAGGGAACTAGCATACAATATCCTTCGTTTGTGTCATTTTGCGTGCATGCGATCAATCTTAGAGAAAGGCCTACGTTTCACCAACTAGAACACAAAACCCTAGTATAAATACTTCACTTTAGTTATCCTCCACGTTTTGAGACCTACCAACATGGGTAAGGCTGCAAAATCTACATCACAGGGTAATCCTTCGTCGTTAAAGCATCCGGTTAGTCAAAGTTGTGAGCATCCATTCTATTTTAGTCTTTCTGGTACTTAATTCTTATACGATGGTATCCTCGGTTTGGAGTCGCCGGAGAAATATGTATCTTCAGCGAAGAGAGCTAGAATTGAGGAGGTTGTACTCGCCCCACCCAGGAATGATGTGATCCAATTTGGGTCAACCAACAAGCTTGAATTTCTTAATCGAAAAGCAGTAGGGAAATCCGGCAGGAGTTGGATCTGCGAGCCTTTGTTGACCTGGAGGAGGCTCTCCACCTAACAATCAAGATCGAAAAGCAACAGTGATCGTCCTGGAGAGTCACGCCGGGAAATAAACCGGCGACAGAGGCGAATTCCGATGGCAATCCCCCGCAATTACGATCCGACCTCGGCAAATTACCAACTAAGAACGTTAACCCTACCTTTGCTGAACATTCTGGGGGTATACAATGCTTCAAGTGTCATGGGAGGGGCCATAAGGCCAACCAGTGGCCCAATTTGAAAACTCTGGTGATCAGAGAAGGAGCTTACATCACCAACGACGAACAATCCAGAACCAGTGATGAGGAGAAGGTTGATGAGGAACTTGAAATGGAAGCCACACCTTTTGGGAAACTTCTCGGAGTCAGTAGGAGGGCTCTTACCCTTGAACATGTTCAGGATGCGAGTCAACGAGAGACTTTGTTCCACTCTCGCAGCCTTGTTCAAGGCAAACTTCTTTCACCGATCATCAATGGCGGAAGTTGCGCGAATGTTATCAGCCAGGACGCCGTGAGTAAGCTAGGATTGAGTACAATGAGACATCCTGAACCCTACAATTTACACTTGCTAAATGACTATGCGGAAGTCAGGGTGACCAAACGAGCTAAGGTTCAATTCGAGATCGGCACGTACAGGGATGTGCTCGAGTTTGACGTAGCTCCAATGCAGGCCGCCACGTACTACTGGGAAGGCCCTGGCAATTCGACAGAGGTGTCTGTCATTATGGAGGTACGAATCAATACAAGGTTCGTCATCAGGGGAGGCAATACATGCTCACACCATTGTCGCTGGAGGAAGTAATGGAAGACCGGAGATAATTGGAGGCCAGTCAATGACGATCGAAAGGCGAGTCTAGTGGGAAGCCGAATAACGAGCCTCATGGCACCGTTCGGGTCACTCGTAAGCTTATGTTTACTGGATTTAGGAAGTAGCGGGCTCCTCGACGTTGACGACCCTGTCGTACTTCGCCGCAACAGGCAGGAGAGAGGGTCAATTGGGTCGAGCAGTGGGAGGCGATTCGAGCTTGACCAACTACACCGCCACACTCCTACAACCCTTTGGGAAGCTCTCCCCTTAGTCAGATTAGGTCGATTAACTCTCCATCGTCGGAACCCATTCAAACATAATTTGCTCTAAAAATGGCAAAACTCAAAGAGAAATCAAGCTTATTGGGTGGAACAATTGGTGGTGAGTCGACACAAACGGATGACGCAGATCGGTCGCATTTACTCCTAGGAAGCTCTCAGATCAATCAATTTGATTCGCAGATCCCTATATTAAAAACCCTCAAATTGAATTTGAGTTTGCTGAAGTGTGGAGCTTTGAACTTCGACGATGGCGGGAAATAGAAGCGGGTCGATTCGACGATGAATCCTATGATTCGAGACACAAGACCCCTCCAAAATTTTGATTCAAAGTAACAAGATTCTCATGGAAGCCCTTAATTGTGTTGTAGACCCCTGGAATCGAAAGCCCCAATTTCGAACAAGAAGAACAGTGTCGCCACTTTCCAAAATTGGCAGTTCGGGCAGCCTTTTTCAGATCCTATTTGGGAGCAATTTTGCGAACGTTTCAAGCAAAGGAAGGACAAAGTGTTGAGGGAAACACTTTTTCAAGGGGGGGGGGGTGATGTGATCCAATTTTGGTCAACCAACAAGCTTGAATTGCTTGATCGAAAAGGAATCTCAAACACTAACACGAACCATGAATTTTGCCTAAGTATTGTTAGGGTTTCAGGTACCCTTCTTTGCACGAATGCAACTTTTATTTGGCTCGATGAAAAAGGGAAAATGAAGGCTTGTTGTGAATCTGGGAAGTTTCTCTACAAAAGGGAATGGTTGGGAGCTCGAGAAGAAGCTGTGAAAATTGTGTTTAGATCCTCACAAAACCCTAAGCCAAAATCGGGAAAGGCCAGAAATCGGCTAAGGCAAGGAGTGTGACGAGCAAGGCGACTTTGGGGATCTATTCGACATTCATGGAGAAGATTCGAGAATGGAACCTTGCACCCCATGAAAGTACAGTTTATTTACTCCAACTACGTGGTGTCGGTTAGCTTGATTGAAGATCGGAAGGCTTTGTGCGAACCCCAGCAAGATCGGATGACGCTTGTTTGAGACTGGCTTGCTGAGTTGCGAATCAGAGTCCTTTGTGGATTAGGATTAGTTTAACCTTTTCTGTTTTGAACTAGTTTTTCGTGTTTGATTGTGTTAAGGACTTCCAGAGTAGTTTGAGTAGTTAGCATAGGTCTATTTAAGAGTTCCAATTCATTGTAATTGTCAGTTTTTGTCATTGAATACAAAGTAGAACTTTGATTCATCTCGCAAGTTTGCTTGAAGAATTGAGTTGGATTGCTTAGAGGATTCTAAGCAATAGGTGAGTTTGTATCGATCAGTTCAACACCCTGACCGTGGCCAAGCATCGACCTAAAAGTCTAGAGCCTCTTTCCCCTCGTGAAAGTTGCACGAAACTCATCACCCAACCCACAAAATCGACCCTGTTTTGTGAGTTCTTGTTCGAAGAGAAGTAATCCGAGGTTCTAGACCTCTTAGATGCGAAAATTTGATCTTAAACCCTACCTTGGGCTTTATCATGACGTCACCATTATTCCCGACGACGAGGAACCAGAGGTGATCCAAAAGCGTAGTGGAAAAGCCAAATCCCAGACTGGATTAAAAAAGGATGTAGAGAGCATGGAATTCATTATTTTTTATCTAGTCTACCACGATACGAGATCTTGGTACAAACCTTCCACAACTTGTTAACCA